TACTTTGCCTGCCTAAAACACTTGATTGGTCTAATAAAGAGCGGAATGCCAATAGCTTGGTAGAAAAGAAATAGGCGGGGCTGGCAGACAGAATAAATAGGAAGAGAAATCTGGAAGGTAATGAAGGAGCAAGAAAAGGAGGGGCCAGCCACCCAGCCACACAGCCAGACACAGAATAAGAAGGAAAGAAAAGATAACACAGAAAGAGAGAAAGGTAAAAGTCCAGAGGCAAAAGGAAGGCAGGACAACTTAAGTTAAGGAAAGCTGGCTAGAAATAAGCCAAACTGAGGCCAGACATTCATAAGAAAGAATAAGTCTCTGTGTGTGATGGAGCTGGGTGGCAGACCCCCAAAGAGCCAAAAGAGTATAAAACAAATAACTACAAATTGTAGTGTTTTAAGTTGGTAGAAAATCTTAAAGATGGTCTAAACTAGAGAAGGGTTGGTTCTTTATTGCTGCACTAGTACCCTCTAGTCAGGCATGATTGTTCTCTAACTCTTTTTTCCTTCTCTTTCACTACACTTCCTTTTCTATTGTGGTTAAATCTACATAACTGTCTCTTTTCAAAGCTTAACAGCCATTCTGAAAACATCCAGGACTAGTACAATTAGACAGAATCTCTTTTTAACCCCAATATTTCCAAATGGAACATGAAGTCAAGACAATATTTTTCAGTTTGTTGTCATACTGGCAAAGTCTGGATGTACTAGGTACTTCATAACTAGGCCATATCACCTGCCCATTTTTTTCTTTTTTACCATTTATTTTTGAGACAAAGTCTCAACGACTTGCCTAGACTGACCTCAAGCTTCCTCTTTAGCTCACATAGGCTTTGAACTCATAAGCTCCCTGTCGTAGCCTCCAGAGCAGTGAAAAATCACAATCCTGAGCCATTTAACGGGGTCCCTTGGGCTCACTGCTGAGAGTAATTCTACCTGACTGTGACTCCATCCTCAAGCATGAATGGTCCCTGCCCTCCCATCCTGGATCACTGGTACCTGCCTAGTAAACAGGCCAGGGATGCCTTAGCTCTAGGAACACTGTTCCTGTTTCCCTGACATATGGAACAGATGCAGTGTTGTTGTTCCCCTAGTCTGATACTGGGCATGGGGGAGGAATGGAGCAATAGTTGTTATGCTGAATTGTAGAATGAGGCCCACCTCCACACGGAAATATTTCAGTGTTGGAACAATATCACAAGCTGCTCAAGATAGGAGGCCTTATTGGACTATAGGTCATGTTATCAGGCTGATGCTTGAACCCTGATCCCCAAATGGATGTCAGCATGATGGAAGAAGCTGGAGGAAGTAACTGGAACTAGAGGAGATATGCAAAATCCTTGGAGGTCTTGTGACTTCTAATGTAAGCCTTATAGAAAACACTGCTCTGAGAACCAGGCTGGGACATCCTCAGTTCTGTGCCAGTGTGGAGCAACATCACAACACTGGACAGTATGTCCCTCTCTATTATTCTATATAGAGTGTGCCCAGTACCTAGGTGGGCATCCTGCCATCAGGTAGAGACTGGTTGGTACCTTTGGAGCAGAACCATCCAGAATATCTTCTCCCCTTCCTGCTGCCAACCCTGCAAAGCTGCTTCTGAGATATAACAGACAAAATAAAAAAAAAAAAAAAGTACAACACTTTAATAATCCAAAGTCAACAGGGAGAATGTAACTTCCATAACAAAAAAAAAAAAAACTCAAAAAGTCCTCAGCAAACAAAAAAGGCTATGCATCAAAATGACATTCTGTGTTCAGCCATCCCACGACGCCTGCTGAAAAGAGATAAAAGCAGCGAACTTATCAGCCAGCATGATGCTGCATCTGCTCAGTCATAATTACACTGATGCTTAAGAGAACTGACCCGGAATGAGAGCGCCTGAATCACATCATCTATTCCAAGGGTGCAGCATTTTTAAAGTCCTTTCCCTCCAGGAAGCTGAAAGGCAAAACACTATAATTTGAGTAGGGTGGAAGTAATTTCATTTTGTTGAGTTCCTTACAAAACTCAGAATTACAAAATCATAAAGTCTCAAGGTTGAGAGGGAAACTAAAGGTTATTTATTCCCTCCAATTCAGAACATCTTCAGAATATCATGACCAGTTGGTGATACTAGCATTGCTTTCTTAACAGCCTCAGGGATGGGAGTCCCTGTCCACACTCCCACCTCCAGGCTAAATAGATGACCTATTCCCCACCTAGAGGCAGAGATTCCCTGTGATGAGCACAGGTTTCCTATGAATTCGTGATAAGTCATTCTAACAAGCTCTGCATCTCTTATCACCCTCCAACTGATTCCCCTCCTGAGAGCTCCTCACATCACCCCACCCCATCACTCCTTCCCTTTTTCATGAAGATTAATGTCACTAGAGTAACAGGGGTTAACATCACAAGTGTGTGTTTCCATGAACGGATGAGTTCGGTACCCTGTGCTTACTTACCCTTCCAACTTCCACTATGGAATGATACAGCAAGAAGTCATGTGCAAGATGCAGGCCCCTTGACCTTGACCTTGCCAGCTTCTAGAACTGTAATAAATAAATGTCTGCTTGGGTATTTTACCTCACTATGATTCTAAATTCTATTTCTCTGATTAGTGACACTGAGCATTTTCATACACCTCTGGCTATTCTGGTGTCTTTCTTTGGAGACCGCAAAGATCATGAGCTGTCATCAAACTTCATGTTGATTTCTCCTGCTCGGCACAGGAGATGTGGCCTGAGTTAAATCACAGAGAAATACAAGAAGTGGCCCAGGATAGTAATAATTGGTGGGCCATTTAACTCTGAAACAGTCTGTGCTAGCTGTGATTTGTCATCATTTAATCTCCTGACCTTCCGACAGCAGAACCCCTTTCATAAAAGTAGGAGCCCCTTCCACAGGGAAAGCCCCTTCCATTCGGGCTGTACATGTGACCTAGGCCTATCCCAATCAGGGTTCCTCCCATGAAGTAGCTGTGGAAAGCACCAAGTAAGTAGCACATGAGTCCTTGTTATGCTGGAAGCTGAATGTGCAGCACTGACAAGCGGCCACCTCCCTTTCCAGGCAGTACTTTAACTTAGCAAACCGAATTAATTCCACCCAGTGGCCACAGTGATCCTTTCCCTTTTACGTCAGTCAATCCAGAAGCTCTCCACCTTGGCTACGTATTAAAGCCACTTAAAGCACTTTTTAAAACATGGCCCAAATTCAAAGAAACCAGAATCAGGGAAGGAGCACGAGATTTCTCCGCATGGCTACGAGCCACTATTCAAGCTACTGAACCACTCCTGCTCAAAACCTTGGGCCAGCACCATGGATTCCTCTCCCCAAGCAAGATAAATCAGAGCCTTTCTCTGCAACCGAGTTTAAACGTGATCGTCTTCCCCAGGCCTTTTCTTCCCTACACAAACCCAAAGTGAGATATGCAGGGCTGAGCAAGCAGGGGCATCCTCGGTCTCAGAATGGGGGCAGAAGGTTCTGGAAGCTGAGGGAGGCACAGTGCCAACCTGAGGACACAATGTGAGGGCCCAATGAAGCCATCGGCATTGGAACACTTCCTCTCTCTCTCTCTCTCTCTCTCTCTCTCTCTCTCTCTCTCTCTCTCTCTCTTTTGAGACAGGGTTTCTCTGTGTAAATTTGGAGCCTGTCCTGGAACTCACCTGTAGACCAGCCTGGCCTCAAATTCACTGAGATCTGCCTGCCTCTGTCTCCTGAGTGCTGGGATTAAAAATATGTACCACCACTGCCCAGTGAAACATGTTGTTGTTGTTGTTGTTGTTACAAGTTTTAAAATAACTTTTGGGGGGACTTGGGATTTTACAGATTTCTTTAAAACCACTCCTAGTGGCCTTGCAAATCCTGGGATAAAGAAAGCTAACACGTCAAAGGGACTAAACAAAACCAAGATAAAGGAGCATTCAGAGAGCCAAGCTTCTGTGATCCCACCTAGCCATCAGTAACTTCTGTTGGGAACAGATTGCCTCTTAGCTGTTCTTAAGCACAGTGTCTTTTCCTGGACTCTTCTGTTTTGTTCTCTTTCTCCTTGTCACTGAGTCAGGCCACCAGCCTGATCCACAACAGAAGCTTTGGAGGAAACCTCTAGACAGACACGCTTGGGTCTAGAGTAGGCAGTCCAAATCCCATTGCCACAGCCAGCTTTTTAGTAGAATAGAACAACATGTGACATTTCCCCCTGTACCACCCACATTCAAAAGACATTTGAACCTAAGACTGAACCCAGTGATCACAGAGGGGGACAAGAGTGGAGACTGAAGAAGGCTTAGGGATAAGGGCCTTTTGGAAGAAGAGAGCAAACAGGGGACAAATATAAGAGATTTGACCTGTGGTGGAAGTAGTCACAATCCATAAGGACTTGGAAATCAAATGTCCCATTTTCTAGCCATCAAGCCTGGTTATCAAGCTTATATTGAAGCCAAACCATATTGCACTAAAAAAAAAAAAAAAAAAAAAAAAAAAATGGGGCAGTGGGGGATTTAAGGTGTCAGGTGAGAAGAGTCTATGAGTCTAAGTTTGAATGTGAAAGGCCCATGGTTCACTTGATGTAGGAGGGGAGACACCCTTGAAAATGTGGCAGTTGAGAATTAGCATAGGAGTGGAGATGTGGGGAGGGAAGGGGTAAGAGCTGTGGACGTCCCCAAAGGGAAAAAGACTTGTCAGAGGCATGCCCTGGATCCCAGTGGGGAGGCTTCCCTTTCAGCATGATGGGCACCCAGGAGGGCACGGGGAGTACCTGGCACACCAGTGTGACGTTTGTTAAGAAGGCTCCAGTGATCCAATGAGGGACAAAGAGAGAGACAGAGCAGGTGGCTCTCATAGGACACTTGCTTGAGAAGGCAAGAAGAGACGAGTGGGTAAAGCGGGTGGACCAGAGAAATGGCTAGAATGAGGCTCTAAAATTTGGAGCGGATATGATGGGTGTCAGGAGCCAGACGGCAATGACCACATACCCAGGAGGGCCACATAGGCAGTTTGGTTAAGTTAGGAAGGACAGAGCCCATGGGGGCCCAGTTTTCGGCACCAGATATAATTGACAGCCAAACCGGAACACTCCGCAGGTAGGAAGGGTTACTGGGATCACAAACTGGAGCACTCCACGGGTGGGAAGGGTTACCGGGGTCACAAACTGGAGCACTCCACGGGTGGGAAGGGTTACCGGGGTCACAAACTGGAGCACTCCACAGGTGGAAAGGGTTACCGGGGGTCACAAACTGGAGCACTCCACGGGTGGGAAGGGTTACCGGGGTCACAAACTGGAGCACTCCACGGGTGGGAAGGGTTACCGGGGTCACAAACTGGAGCACTCCACGGGTGGGAAGGGTTACCGGGGTCACAAACTGGAGCACTCCACGGGTGGGAAGGGTTACCGGGGTCACAAACTGGAGCACTCCACGGGTGGGAAGGGTTACCGGGGTCACAAACTGGAGCACTCCACGGGTGGGAAGGGTTACCGGGGTCACAAACTGGAGCACTCCACGGGTGGGAAGGGTTACCGGGGTCAAACTGCCACAGTTGTCTCTGGGGAGAGGAGCTAAATGGTAGAAAAGCAAGTGGATCTTATGTGGCAGTCAGCAGTGTTGGGTTTCTGAGTGGATACAAACTGGATTAGCCAGGAACTAGATGCCCTTGCCCAAAGTGCTTGTTAGCTAGTCTATTTCAGTAGCCTCAGAGTATTTCACAGTATGAAAACACATCAACATTTTATCAATGGATGCATAGATTATTTCAAAGTTTTTGTCTTTGGAAGTCCAGGGTCATGTGTCTCTTGAGTCTAGAATAACCAATATTATTTAGTAAGTCTTACCATACAGGTTTCCCTTCAATAAATATAACTCCATTTAGTTCTAGCATGTGCCTATATTAAAAACTGAATTCCTTTAAGTAGAAGTACTATATCTCTGAGGGAGTTGAGATTTTAGATTGAGTTTAGTTCACTGTTCCACTCCCATCCCAAACCTTCCCAAGCCTTCTCCACCCATCCCACCAGTAGCCAGAGCCTGACTCTTCAAACTTCTCTATGTCAGCAGAAATGACTCATGTATTCCATTCTTTTCCTTTGTAGTCACATGATTATTGTAACAGAACAATAGAACATCAAAGTTCAAAGAGATTCCAGTGGTCATGTACTCTAACTTCTTTGTTTTAAGAATGTTTCTGTTGCATATAAATTGCATGAGATGTCATCACAATAAAGTTTTCATTATGTATAAATCATATCCATCCATAGTAATATATTGAACAAAAAAATTAAAATACTCTTTCGCATTCTTTTCCTACTCTCTTACTGAGAGGCAAACTATGTTAATAGTTCACACAACATAATGAGTTATTTATCACAGGTAGATCCATGTATGTAAATACACGAATACAGTGAGCAGCAGTTTTTAAAGGTTTATTAAATATTTATTTTAAGGCTTATTTTATGTGCAGGAGTGTTTTACCTGCATGTATATCTGTGCACCATGAGCTTGCTTGGTGCCTAAAGAGGCCAAGTGAAGGTGTTGCATCCCCATGAATGGGAGTGACAGATGGCTGGGAGCTGTCCACATACGTAGATGCTGAGAACAGAGCCCAGGTCCTTTGGAAGAGCAGTAAGTGCTCTTAACTACTGAGCCACCTCTCTATCCCAGTAATGGAATTTTATACTATTAAAAAACATCACTGTCTATGCTTTTCTACAGCTTTTATTTATTTTCTCTTAGCAACACACTCTTTCCTTACCAGCATACAGACCTGTTCCACTGTGCTAACTACTGCTTAATTTATAGTGTGAGGCATATTACTCATCTATTGCAGCGTAAACAATTCCCCTCTTGTCTCCAAATTTAGCGGCATATGCAAAAATAAAAACAGATAAAAACTCCATTACCTCATCCGGTTTCTAAAACTGGGAATACTGGACCAGTTTGTGTTGGTACTTCTGGTCAGGGGCCTTGGTGACATTACAGTTGAGCTGTGGGCTGGGGCTGCCGTCATCCGAGGTCTCATGGAGGCTAAAGATTGGCCTAGTGGATAGGACGGCTCGAGTGCATGGCTGTGGACAGTTATCTAAGTCCAGCAGCACGTAGACCACGTCCATGAAAGCTTCAGGGAAGGAGAGGGAGAAAAAGAATAGAAAAAGGTAGCCCCTGTCTTTGTGTGATCTAAACTCAGGACAGCATGTTACTTTTGCCAAGCACTATTGCACTTACATAGCAGCCCTGGTTTAGGTCCGGGAGACGTGAGCGTCACTGGAGTCTGCTTGGACACACGGGAGGCTACTATTCTCTACTACCCTTCTCATGGCTGTCTTAAGGCTCCTATGCTCACAAGCAATGTTACTGTGAGCACCTGGGCAAGCATCTTGAAGCCAGGTTCTTTTCTAGTAGTAGTACTACTGGGAGAATTGCTGTGAGAAGGGTGACTTTGCCAAGGTCACACTATTCATCCCTAAGATCACAACACCAACACCAGACTTTTAGGCCTGGTCCTACTCCAGAGTCACTCATGTCTGTGGGTAAGACAAACAGGATGGAGATTGTTAAATAGGCACCCAGTTATGCCTTTATCCCATTAAGTTGAGTTTGAGACCTAACTGCATCAGGTTTTCCCAGCATCCCTGTTCCAGGAACCTTTGGCTAGCATACCCCACCCCTATCCTAAATTTCTCCAATCCAGGGGTTGGGCTACCCTTCCCCCAACTGCCCTTCCCTATTTATATAACCTAGCCATTTTGGTTACCTGGCACCCTGTTTTCTTTTTTCTTCCTTCTTTTTTCTCCTATCTTACTTTCTTTAACCTTTATTTACCCTTTTTCCTTCTTGGTTTCCTGGTTGTGTAGCTCCCTTCGCCTGTCATGGCCCAGGGACATATTCCACATGGACTCTTCCAGATGCCTATGTTCCCCCTCATATCTGCAATAGCTATAATCTCCTCCACCACACCTCAGGGCCGTCATGTCCTCCTTTTTTATTTATTTATTTTTTTATTCAGAGATCTCAACAAGTATCTTGAGTTGTAGCTTCTGGGAATTCCCTACGGTTGGTTCCCAGAATGCTGAAAAACCATGTAACAGCTTACCTTACTCTGTAGGTGTTAAATCAACAGTGCTGTGCTTGAAGGCTACATCCATGGTGTGTGAACACATTAGTTGCCTCGATTAAAAGGAAGCTGACAGAAATAAGGGCTCCTCTCCAGGCAGAAACTGACATCAGCCAAACTGGCTTCAGCTCTGTGACCATGTACAAGCCACACATATCCTAGAACGCCATCTCAGCTATGAGAGGATGCTCCAGGGGCCTCCAGTGATGTATGTGTCTGGCCATGGGAACTACGACTGCTTTTATTCTTCCTACTGAACACATCAGTTGTCCTTCAGCTCCTAAAATGAATGAACTCCATTTTCTAAACATATATCGTGTCTACTGAGCTCATTTCTGCCCAATTTTAACGCATCCCAGATCTCTGCTCTTTATGCCAACCCTTATTCTGTGCCCTGGGTTTCTTGTTCTGAGCTGTTCGGATGTTTGATGCATGGGGTGAAGTTAGATCAGAAAACATGTCCAGAGCCTGTGAGTACTCACTCTCCACTGCAACCCAGCCTTCTGCTGCCGGTGTGGGGGCTAGTCAACAAGGCCACTGTCCCCTTAGACACAGCTTGGATCCTCTCCACATCACAACAGCTTCAAATGCTTCTGGGATGGATGGATGGATGGATGGATGGATGGATGGATGGATGGATGGATGGATGGATGGATGGACGGATGCATGGATGGATGGACAGATGCATGGATGGACGGTAGGCAGCAGAAAAGACAAGGGATTGGTCTAATTGTATCAGATGAAATAGCTTCTTCACAAAGCACAGTTTTGGAATATGAGATTATTGCTCCTTTGGGGGACTCTGATAAGTGTCTCCAAAGGCCCATGTGTTAAAGAATTGTCCTTGATATGACCCTATTGAGAGGTAGCAGAACCTTTAGGAGTGAGGCCTATTGGGGTGTCATTAGGTCACTGGGTGTGTACCTTCAAGGGGTATCTTTCTTTTCCCATCTTGCTGTTTACTTCCTGGCTCATTGGGTAAGGGGTTTGCTATGTCCAGTGCTCCCCACCATTCTGATCCAGGGCCTTCATCAGAGACCCTGAATAATGAGGTCATTCAATGATTGACTGGCACCTCAAAGCCAGGAGCCAAAGCAGCATTTCTTTTTAATTTCACTGTCCCTGATTTTGTTCTAGTGGTGGAAAGCTGGCTAATAAGCCCTGATTGTGATTTCAAATGTGAAGATGACCAGGAGCCCTGGCCTGATTATCTGTGCCAATCCAGACTTCATGATTAAGCCTAATTCTCACTATTGTTCTATGAGGCAGTGGAGCCTGGGGAGGTGATAGGCTATGAGGGTGGGGTTATGCCCCAAGGGCTGAGCATGTTCTCCTCCCACCCTGTGAAGACAGCACAGGGGCCATCCTCTAACCCTTGCTCTTGAACTTTTAAACCTAGAACAGTGGGTGATAAATATGTGCTGCTTAACAATTGCAGTCTGAAGGATTTTCCTACAGCGACCACACAGATGGAGATGGGGACGATGTGGAATGATGTGGCTACCCAGCAGAAGAAAGGCAGGCTAGAATGAGGGCAGGAAAGAGGAGTGGAATAGTGCGCCATCAGTGTTCCTTGTGATGAGCTAATGGTGTCCCGGTAACCCTCAGCAGAGGTGTCTACTGTGTAGCTCTTAGGAGAGAAACCCATGACCTCTTACCAGCTGGCCAGGAAAAGCTTTTCCCAGCAGGCCTTGGGGCTCTTGAGCCTCCTAAAAGAATGTCTGGTACCTCTGATGCTCTCCAGAGCCCTAAGAACAAAGACATAAAAGGGACATGATAGCATCAGAAAGTGACATTTTGGTTTCAAACCTGAAGAGTACAGGCATTCCGTCTCCCACCTCAAAGTCCTGAAAGCACAGGGAGCACATCAAGACAGCACCACATTCGGAGACCCCTGCCCAATCCCCACCCCACACTGCCCAACCGTCCTGAGAAGAACGTGCTTCCTGGATGGGGGGAGGGAGAACTTGCTGACCTCAGCAGCTACTTCCTCCTTTGGTGGCCCAGAGGGTAGTATAGACTTGGAGGATCTGGGGGAGAAAGGTGGAACCCTAAGGTGCCCATGTGGTAGCTGGGTCTCAGGAGAGTCCTGGCCCAGCATGGACCACCTCATCCCTTACCTTGGGGTTCCATACAGCAGCCCCGCATTGACACCGCAGTGTCTCATTCCAAAGCCTTTCGCTGTACTTCCTCAGGAAGCTTCTTGCTGAAAGATAAATGTTTTTGTGTGTGATCAAACAGGATTGTATTTATTTACTTACTTTCCTCTAGGAACAAGCCAGGCCAGACAGGTCAAAGGGCAAGATTGCATGTAGTTAAGAGGTCTCCAGAAAAGCTTGGAATTTCCGGTAGGCACAAATGTGATAGAAAAAGGCAGCGTCTCCCAGGGGCCATGGCAGGGGTTATGCTGCAGCCCAGGGCTCCTTGGCAGGAGGGGAACATCCCACAGTGGGGA